TAATAATCTGACTAGCGAGTTTCCATTGTTCATTGTTGCTGTTTATTATGACATAACTTTGATCTTAATCTTACGTAAAAAAAGACAAAACTTTTGTGTTATTATTTAAAATGTTTACGTTAATCTTTGCATTGTTGGCCTGCGGGAAATTCTGGTACTAAACACGCGCAGTTGATCTACTGGTCTCTGACACGAAAAGTTCAGGCATTTTGTCTTAAGCCGCTGTTCCTCTGAGCCGATGTGTCCCTGAAAACATTTCATTGTTGTTTCTTTATCCGTGCGAACGCAGAGAGACCTTTGAAATTTTAATTCCTTGAATTTGCAAGCAGCAATCGATTGAAGTTTGTGACGTGGGGCATACGAGTTACAATGGCGCTATTAGTCGTACTTATAATTGCAGATGTAGGCGTTTTTGATTGACAGGGAATTCAGAAATGACTGACTAGGGGACAATAATGGAATAAGAGCTGTTTAAAACGGAATCTAGATGTAATCAAAACGTATTTATATCGCAAAATTAAACAACCTGTAACAAACTTAAATTGTTTAAAGTAAAAACGGAATATAATTTTATTCTGTGTTATGATTTGAAGCCCGAGACTCTGTAACATTTCGTAAAATGTATTTTTTTTTACAGTTAGAATTTATTAACGATCTGTAGGATCACCCCTTTTCAGCTGTCCGCTAACAGAATGCTGAAAGAAAGAGACGAACATTTCCCAGTATTTTAACCAACGAAACTTTTTAAAAAAAAAGCCTCTTAGCTTCACCATGCAATAAGTTTAGAACCGCCGAACGAATTTTTATTAAATTTGATATTGCGGAGTTTCATTAAAATGTATGAACACACCAATTTTAGAAGCAGAAGTGGGAATATTGTATTTTTTTGTGTATTTTTAATCTCGTGAGAAAAATGTGTGTACTAGAACAGTCTCTGAGATATAATCCCTGTTTAAAAGAAATAGAATTTCCGCTCTGTTTGAACAGATTTTTTAATCTCAATTCCTTTGACAGGTAAGTGATAAGATAAAACGTTACTCGTCGACGCATTTCCTGAAGGGTGAATATCCTGATGCTCTGGAACAGTGGTATTCAACCTGGGGTACGCGAAGACATCTTAGGGGGTACGTGAAATTTAAAAAAAAA